TTATCCATTCTACTTTCTGTGAGTATCGGCAGTAAGAAACATTATAGGAGTGCGATATACCTGTAAATGTATATGTGTCTTGTGCAACCTTACATTTTTCTAGTGTATGGGGTTTTGTAAAGCTTCAGTCGGTTTGCTCACACGTTTTTGAATGGAATGTATATATATGTATATTTCATTATTCTATACCCCATATGCTATAATATGGTCACATTGATTTTAACTTATATTCTGTGTATTTATTTAAATATAATTTGGAAATATTTTATACTACAATTAATTATAACATTTAGGTATAATATTATAGTATAAATTTAAAAAAAAAAACGATGACACAAGCATTTTTCATTCATCGATATTTTTTATACTTCGAAACAATTACACCGATATACCATCACAATCAGCTTATTTTAATTTTCGTTAATTCAATTTTTGTAAATGTATTTACTTTTTAATCAATTTCACCCCAACGGCTAACGGTTAAAATAATTAACAAAACAATGCACAGTAAATACTAAATAGATATAGTAGGCTTTCAAAACGGCATTATACTAATCAATATTATTGATTCAAATTATTCTATTCATCGGCGGCCTTTTATTTTACACTCATCCTCCAATCCTGGACTTCAATACTCTAATTTAATACATGAACACTTATATAATAGTACAGTTTATGTATAGTTTCTTATCTAACAATTTATCAATACCACATTTTATCTTGAACGGATTAAAGCTGTTGGATACTAATATTGTTGTCTTGAAAAATTTTAGTACCTATGTGTCGAAACTGAAACAAAATGGAGTACATTTTCGACTATGCCAGAAAATTTGTTTTATGTAATATTGTTATTAAGCGCATTACAAACCAACAGACCTCACCCTTATATGATAGAACTGCTTGCCACCGTATTACATTTTAATCGTATTTTTACTAATTAGATCGATGGGATTCTGAAATATACGGAAACAAAATATTTAAGCAGATGTTTGCATTGGATAACTGACCTAAAATCAATATCGAACACCAATGACGATGACGAAATATAAACATTAATTATTATTAATTATCATAGGTATCCGATTTTCAACAAAAACGTGGAATCTATAGATTATTGTATTGTTCAAATTAATTGTTATGTATGAGTGTGAAATAGCTATCAACAAAAAAAAAAGTCGTTTAATTCTGAAAGCAAGAACATGGTTTTGTTTTTTTTTTGTTATAATATTAATTATTCAAAGCTTAACGTAAAAACAAAATCGGAGAACTATAATAAAAAGTAAAAGTATATAATTATTTGTATGTTTTTAAACTGAAAAGTTCAATATTATTGATATTTGTTCATTATGGATAGAACATATTTACTATAACGATATTATAGATCTTATCACATAAAATGGTATAAGTGCCTCACAATATTTATCAGGACAGTATATTTAATTATAAATTATAAATCTAGCTTTGCTTGGGATATGCAAAGGATTTCACGGTATATGGACTTAATTTTATTTATGAAGTTTCACCTATTCGATAATATACGAAACACTCAATACAAAGGTTTATAATTGTGATTTAAAAATAATTTGCACTAATTAGTTTATGCATAAATAATATTCAATAAAACACATTAAGCACAACAAAAAGCAAAGCTTTAAACTGTGAAACGATTTTGAACATCAATAACATCACAATTTCAAAACATTTTCAAATGATAAAAAAAAAAAAAAATACAAAATTAAACGGAATTTATTGTATTTAATAAATTCCTAGTTAAACTCTAGTTAAATTCTAGCTATTAATAAAAGTTTAGTCTCCTATATATTCAAATTATTGTTATATGGGTACTAATAATTGTTACTATTTTATTGTATTTATCCATAAGACATTATTAACAGGTACTTACAATTGGTATTATTATTTATTTTGAAACAATTTATCTCACAGTAATGGTTTTTATGGTTATTAACGTTTCTATAAGCTAACATGATTTGAGTTACCATTTATTTAATCGATTTTAAGACCTCCGGTAGGTGGCAGTAAAATTAATTTTCAGATAGCATATAATATGCATAAACTCAAAATATATGGCTAAAGCAACAGCGGATTTATTAAAGCTCCGTAATACATAATATATACATAATAAATTGACAAATTTATACGTACATATATAATAATGTAAAATATATAAAATCTATTATGTGTACATTTAAATGTTATTATTATTATTATTATTATTAAAACTGTGTAGCAATAATTCAACAAAAGTTTTATGACGTTGACATGATGCCTACGGCCCTTTTTTTATTGTGTCGGTGGACAATTGTGAAAAAATGTCCAATACATTGTGAATTGCGTTATGCATAAAATAAATTAAATTGAAATTGAGTTTTATTTCACATATTATCTTGTGTATCTTAAAAACAATAATATTCCGCCGAGTATACTACTGTTTTCTTTTCAAATCAAATTATAGTATTAAAACAACTTAAACATTTTTTCTTTTTTAATTAAACAAAATGGCCTTAGACGTTTTACTGACTGAAACGGTTTTTGTACTTTTTGCTGTATTTTATATTGAAAATTGGTTTGTGCCACCGTAAAATAAAATATCTTATCTTTGGTTTTGTATCATTAGGTTGGAAACACATTGGTCATGTAATTATTGTTCTTCGGTCTAAGTTTAGACGTACAATCAATTTTATTTTATTTCAACATCGTTACTTTTTATATACCTAATATAGCATGTATAATAATATACAGAACTATATACATAAATCTCATGAATACGGTAAAAATATTAAAAAAAGTAAAAATGGGAAAATATAATAAAAATATGTATAAAAAAATGATATCATATTCTATCCAAGTATTACATTCGCCTGGTGACAATTACTATGGTGAAAAAATATATTGGGTCCTACGAGGATGTAGAGACACCATTCTAGATCGAGTGTGACAGTTTTTTAATAGAAAATACTGGTGAAAACAACACGTGTATGAGTGTTTCAATTTTTATTCTCATATTATTGCACCGTCGGGATTGTTCTACATTAAAATATATTTATTTTTATTTTTTTAATTGCATTCCATTATTATTATATAATGTTAAAATTAAACCTTTCCAGAGTGTTCGTGTTTAATGGGACTTTCCTGTCAAACAAATGATTATATTGTTAACTACATATAGGACACATTTGTATTTTAATTACGAATGACATTGAACGAAAATCAAATTAGGTAGGAATCCAATAAAAACTCTCACAATGCACCAGATACAACTTAAATCGTAATCAATCAAGAACTCGTAAACCTATTCATGTTTACAAAATGATGTAATAATCTGACACCGAAATATTATTTTTTCAGAAATTACTAAAGATTACGTCATCATTATTATTCACAAAAAAACGCATTTGTGATTTATTTCTACTGTTGATTTGGTGTTTTTGTATAAATAAAATGTTACTCGCAATAGTTATTCTGGTTGTTATTATTGATTAATTCATTTTGTATTCAATCTTATAAAATGCATTAGTTGTAGCGTATATGTTTAAAATATAAAACCTTACTATATAGACTATACTTATTGAAAATCTTTTTTAAATATAAAATATTATTTCAACATATTCATCGAAAAAACCATTATTGTTAAATAAAAAGAAAAATTGAAAGTTAATGTTTAGTATTAAAGTTGTAAAATATTATGAATTATTTATACGCACTCCAGTTTTTCTTAAAAAACAAAATTTATTCTGAATTTGTAATTAGTTGTATTAGCTTACACTGATCGATATTTATTGTAATCGATAAAGTACACACACTTATACAGTTATTTGTTCATTCAAAATAAATAAATGGATACTAAAAATATATAATAATAAAGTGCATATTGTTTACTCGGCTATAAGTTGTATGCATAGAATAATGTTTAGAGTTTAATAAATAATAAAAACGGAATTAATAATATAGTCATTTTATTTCACTGTTTCCCTGATATATAAATATAATTATTAATTATTAATTATAAATTGTACCTATATACATTTAGTTAATTTAGGAGTCCATTAGTTTATTTGACAAGTATGGAAATATAATATCAATAATCGTGTTTTTCAAAAGATGGCGATAGTAATAATTTATGAATCGAATAAAATTATAATTCAAATGTTCCAAATACCAAATTATTTGACAAGTAATTCAGTACCTAATACATAATAATATAATAATACTAATATATACACACAAACAAATACCAAATTAACTAAACTCACAGTTAGTTACCTACAAATTACAATTTTATAGAGTAGTACTACATTATAAAGTTTCAGCCATAATATAATATGTATATTATAATATTGTATTATAATAACTTTTACCTTACTCATACTGGTTTTTATCGTACCTAAATTTATCAAATTTTAACGACATAGTAAATGAACCCCAAAAGTCAGTGGTGTAGCTAATTTGCCTATCCAAGACGCCGTTTTACCATAATGGTTTTATTGACAATATTATAACATACAACTATAATTGTACTGTACCAGGCGAGGGATAATCGTTATAACCCGTTCTTGTATATTATATATTTCTTATCTATGTAGTAAGTTGGACACTTAATTTCTGAAATAAACATTATAATATTATTGTGATGGTTGCTTGTATTTAACAATAAGATAACATATAGTTTGGAAAATACTCTTCGATATTTGACGTATGTTATAGCTGTTAAGGTATTTCCTCTTATCCCTACAATGTGTTTACCACTTATAAACTTAATTAATAACTTTGAACCATTCTATGCACATTATCACAAACTATTCTATCGTATTTATTACTATGCGATTACCGTATACACTACGCTTTTGAAATACACCACGGCAATAACTCGAATCTTTATACAATAATACAATATTAACCACAGTGAGTTTCCACTTGCCAGGAGGCATGTGTATTGTGATTTGTCTGCAAAATAGATTTTAGAACGTTTGTTTTATTTTCAGAACCAACTACCGAAATACTGGGAGGTCCGGAGCTGTTCATTGATCAGGGTAGCACGATAAACCTCACCTGCTTGGTGCAGTTCGCACCGGAACCTCCGCCGACCGTTGGCTGGACGCACGAAAAACAAGTGAGTGGAACAATTTACGTTCTATTTTCGACAACATTGACTAAGAAGAATGGTCCTTTTCGGATTTGGTTTTCGAAATGATACGTTTTGCTACATGTTTTTTTTTTTTTTTTATGTGTTTGTGTATGTGTGTATGCGGTTCACAGCCCATAAATTTCGATTCTCCACGAGGCGGAATAAGCCTGGTAACGGAAAAAGGGTCGACCACCAGCAGCAGATTATTAATTCAAAAGGCGTCGTCTTCAGATACCGGCTACTACTCTTGCGATCCGTCAAATGCAAATTCGGCCACCGTCAGGGTTCATATATTAAACGGTTGGTTGCCTTAAATTATACTTGAAAATACATAGACGGTGGACTATTTTGTTCGCATTATGCCCCGTTATTATATTATATCCTATTTGGGTCGTAATTTTTTTTCCCGCAAAATGTAGACAATTGAAAAATTATAAGGACTATTAAAATAAATGAAGGTACATTTCCCCACCAAAAAAAAAAAAAACTTAGGTCCTCGGTAGTAAAAAAATAAACCATACGCGACGTCGAAGGGATGGTAGAGATTTTTAAATTAGGTTATAATTCATAATATAGAAAAGAACATTCCGGTGCTAAACGAGGTGTGCGTGTGACGAGTGTGTATATATAAGGGTGCGTGTGTACCTTGTCAGATAAACGTTAACCGTCTTACCGATAAATTCAAATACATGGCCAATTAATATTAAAGATAATTGTATGAAATCATTTTATTAAAATAGAGAATAAATTAATAATTGTTGCTTATTTTTATAATAAGGAATAACACAATAATAAATTAAGATTAAAATAATATTTTTATTTTTTATTTATTATATTTCAAATGTATTCAACATATTGCCGTTATAGCGTTAAACACTTTAACATAAAAATGTATACTATTCATAATTTACTTTGTAATTTTGAACATATTATGTTTCATGTTAATACAATAATACATTATGACATCATAACGATATTGAATTTACGAAGATTTTATGCACAGTTGTCTGTGTTTATATCAAACGTATGTCCATAATTATTGGGAAGTAGGAAATCATAAAATAAGACATTGTTATTGTGTTTGTGTTATTTTCTTAACTGTACCTATAAAAAAAGGGAAAACGACCGTCTACAGATGAACAGATAACAATAGAAAGTCGGCTTATACAGATAATAACATTCATTGGGTTATATCTAAGCGATGCATATTATGCAAATCCATCGTTTTTGACCACTTGGCACCACATTTTGCACTCATATTATAACACGGGTTATAAGATTATTATAATGGAAGTAACGGGTAACAGCTATTAAAGTAATATATAAAAAGCAATTTATTTGACTGAGGCTTATAGAATCTTACATAGTCGACCGAATTTGACGACTCGAATTAGGTTTAGATAGTCGATCGAACCAATTATTTTAGATTGGCTTACCCACTATTAATAGTATTACAATTAAATTTCATTTAATTCGGCTTTCAGTTGGTATGTGTAATAGAAGAAAAAAAGTTACCCATTAGTTAATACTTATTACTATCCATCTCAGGTGAAATGCCCATCTCGGTTTCATATATCCGCAGGGAATACAGCTAAAATACATTTCAAATTAAAAAAAAATCCACTAAATCCTAATAAAAACTGAAACTCACTATACTGTGATTATTTATCATGGTCCAATCACTAATAGGCCATACTTCAATCTTTCTTATATTACCTATATATTATTACTCTTGTCTAATTTGTCATTTTCTTGGTGCCTATACAAGTATACTATATAAGTCTGCAGGTTGGTTATATATTTATATAGAATAATAGCTGACTCGGCAATGCTCTGCTATTGCTAGGTTTTTGTGATTGTTCAACTCCATTGTGTGGATGCAATGTCTTTTTAAGTGTAAATGATATTATATTTTAATTTATAGCCATCCCTACCGGCGTTGTCCGTGAGATTCGCTTGTGATTATGCTAGCAGTATATTCTCAGGTAGGCGATCGACCAGCGGTAGATCGAGGACCCCCAGTGGTTCGTACTTAAGTGTATAATTTAACTCTAAATTATCAATAAAGTACAAAAAATGTGTCCACCTAAACCGTGGTTCGAACTCGATACATTCTGTACTAAAATGCACAGGCTCATCGCATTTATAATAATTATTATTATTATAATTATATGGTTAATATGAGTCGAAATTATCGTATTACTCATCTAAAAAATAATTACCATACTTACTATGGCAATATAAATTTATTATGAAGGCTTCTTAGATGTAGTGGCTGACAGTCCGTCTCCACTCAATATAGTTTTTTTTTTGTAATATACCTACCTATACAATTGTATTTATCATTGAATTCAAATTGAACACATCCATTACAGTTAGCTACTCAACAAAATGGTACTGGAGTCTGGAAGTAGGAGTTATTTTACTTATTGAACATATCTTTCCTCAAATTATTAATATTATACATGTATTATATGTTAAAGTGTTTAACGCTATAACGTGCAGTATTATGTTGAATAATTTTTAAATATAATAAATAAATAAAAAAAGTGGGTAAGTGAATGTAGCTCGGCTGTACAGTAGGTTACAATTGGCTCAATGTATAAAGGATTGTATTAAACTTGAATTCAATGATATAATATCATTGTATAAGAAAAAATATTCTGAGCGGAGACGGTTAGTCACTCTGGATATTGTTATTATTTATTATATCCTTTAAGTTGAATTTATATTATAATTGGTATTATTATTTTTTATTAGTTTCTATGGTGATAAACAAAGCGTTAGAAATTAAAATCCCATTTTTAGCGGTTTTTCGTAATTTCTCGGTGGTTTTTCAATCAAATAAATATTGAGAAAATCGAAAAATGACATTTTCAAAGTACCACCTTGATCCAATTTTCTAAAAGATAAGGTATTATATGTTGAAATCGAAGCACTCCTTCTGGTAGAAATGTTGGATAAAGGATTTAAAAAAAATAAATAAATAAACACCATTGTCAAACCAATAGATTCTTCGCTCCACTCAAAATCTAAATAAAATATAATTTTAATCTTAATAATAATAATAGTAATTATTATTTATAAACGAAAATAATAATCTCAAAATCCCTGTTTGAGAACCTCAAGGACCTTTTCGTGGCAAAATCTTAGCCCATCTTCTTCCCAAGAGATAATCTTTGTACCAAATTTCATCGCAATCGGATGAACGGTTTAGGAATGCATAAAGGATTTAGGTAGGTATAGGTAGCTAGGTATAAACATTTGTTGTCGTATATATAATATATAGATTTAATATTATAACATTTGTCTATTGGTATTGGGTATTTACAGCTGGATATTTCTTCACGGAGATTTAGATAGATTATTAGCCTCTAGTACGAATCGTCTAGCAGTATAAGTCTTGAGTCGTTGGTCACAAACGATTATTATACGATAATAACAAATAGTTATGGTGCGCTGATTTGAAGGTTTAACAACAACAACAACAACAGTATGATGATGATGATGATGATGCACTCGACCCTCACGAATGATGATGATTATTATTACTATTAATACACTAGCGAGCGACACGCAATATAATAATATTATACGAATTATAGCCGCGGCGGTGCGCCTCGACGATAACAATAATCTCGCACAGAGTTCAATCCTATTGTTGATGTGTACACTATTAATCACAATTGGTTACTGGATAATAATATAACACCTATAATATACAACTGTGTGTATAGGTTCCTGTGTTATTATTATAATAGACCACGCTAAATAACGCGCTGCGACCCGAAGAAGAATGGTTCTGAGCTGCCGCCACCGTATAATATATAATATAGTACCTAAATATACGGCAAAAACACCGTTGCGCCAACTATTGTTCCTATATGTAGTGCTATCAGTAATAAATAATAATAATTCTTAACGCGTTTAAAATAACACGAGACCAGCTCATCGAGCCGATAAATAACCTCCATCCATCCATCTATATATGGTCCAGTCGATCGGATCACGATAGTCGCCAGTCAACACCATTGAGATAGATAAGTAATATACTAGAGCGCGTACTAGCCCTCTAAAAAAATAGCCAGCTGCAATGTTCTCGCCTTACAGTTGTGGGTATATCAGTTGTTGGCTGTAATGACGTAACTGCCGACTGGTCGGTTTTATACATTTCCGGATACAGGAGTTCGTGCTCCAGCCTCCAGTATTCTTATCCATCTCGATGGTAAATACATACTTACCTAACACACTGTATTATGAAAATACGCAGTGTAAGGGCCACGTTAAGTTAGGGAAAATTTGACACGTCTCAGCTTGATAATAATACAAAAAGAGCCCACTTGGTTTGTTTTGTAAAAATTCTAGTTTTCCTTAATTTTTTTTTTTTAAAAGTATACTTTTTTTTCTTATTATCGAGGACCTGGGAGCGAACCACGATTTGCGTTACAGCTCCCTCGAAATTTTTTTTTAAAGTACTTGGGGTCTTTTCTTTTGACCGCCCATAGTACGAACTAGATTCAATGTTCTGGCAAAAACCACCATCAAAATTAAAAATGAAAGCATAAATATATTATTTTACCGCTCAACAATGTGATGACGGGAAACAGGAATAAGAAAAACATACTTCATTAAAAATGCAGTACATTCATCGCTCTTCTCATTGTCTAAAATCAGATCAGATAGTATTATAATATGATATAATAATAAAAATCGACCTTTTAAATACGTTGATAATGTAATATTTTATATTGAACATATTATTATAAAGTATAAAATATTAAATATTAACCAAAATGCAAAATTTACTCTCTCGTATTTTTACAATCGAATTATTATCGTGGTCGACATAGACTCTTATTGGCAAATGGAATAATTTTGATTCCCCCATCAGATCCGATATCAATCACTACAAATACTTAAATCGTTGTATTGTTTCCAGGTGAACATCCGGCCGCCATGCACCACGGCCAGGGCAGCATCCCGCTGTGCCCACCGATTGTCAGCGCCATGATCGTACCGTTTTTGCTCATCTTCACTGCCAGAGACCTATAGTACCGACAACGTCTACCAGAACTTTTTAATATTATATTATTATGTTTAAGTGTAATGATGCATAATATTATTATAATACAACGATATAGGGGGGAGGGGGGGGGGAAATGTTTCTGATTTAAAATATGTAAAATATGCCTATCGTAATAATGTTGTATATTATGTACTCGTTGAGCAATAAGCTCAAAATACGTCGATCACATATTCGTGTCCGTTTCTCGTACAACACACAAGCGTACTTATAATAGTATTATAATATAATATTTCCACGTCTGTTAGTGATTTTTTTTTTCGTTACTCTTCAATAACATTGTTATAATATAATTTACCCACATACATGTGTGTAATAATAATATTATATTATATTATAATTTATATTATTATACTTCTTTTTGTATTAAATGATACTGAATTTAATAAATACCACATACGCGCGTTAGCGTACTTAAATATCGAACCGGTTATAATCGAGTACCATGATAGGTAGGTAAGGCACCTCTACGTAATATTGTATGCCACCGTCAACATTTCATCGTAATTAGTATATAAAACTTATTCATAGAAAATTGTTTTTATAACACCAATTCAATATCGTGAAATACATAATCGCCTACAGAAGTTTTAATTAATCGAGAAGAATTAATCGAGAACAGCTCCGAAACCCCTAACACAATATAACCGACTTCAACATTATTTTTTGCATATTTCGACAGGTCAGACAGTGAAAAATGTACCTATAAACCTAGAAAGCATTAGAACGTTAATTTTTATTACTTTAAAATGATAAAAATTTCGTAGGAAAATATTTCTGGACAATTTGTTTTCATTGTATAACGATTATATAGAATAAAGTACTACCTATCTATTAGTATTTTATTAATACTTTGATCTCATATAATAAACTCAGTGTTGTTTTTTTATTGAAAATAAACCTAATTATTATTTTGTCTAGGTACCTGTCATAAAATTGTTACAACAATTGTTTTCTTTGCATTTTTTCACAAGTTTAATGTGGTTTATATTTTTTTTAGGATATGACGTGAATAATTAAAAACATATGGAATATAAATTATAAATATACACGAGCTTGTGACTCACAAACCATGTTTTGAACAGCGTTGTCTTAATAATAACAATATAATATTTTAGTCTATAACAATACATTGACATTTAATAATATGACGGCAATTTGACCACACCAGGACAAAAAGTTCATAGTAAATCATACACTTATTCAATAATAATTATTGTTCAAATAAAACATTGTATGAAGTAGATATATACATACTATATATATATTATAATTAAGAACGCCGTTGTTTAAATCATATTATAAAGAATAACCTAAAACAATTGTTTGTTAAAATCTATGAGAAAAACACTATTGTGTTATAGATAAACAAACAACTCAAATAATATGGAAGGGAAATAATAAAAAAGTTCTTACCACTAATATTATTGTGTAATACTTAAAAATAAAAATCTGTTAGCATAGTGTAAAACACTTATTTATAAGTATTTATAAAAACGTAAAATAGGTATATAATAATGAGTAATGACTAAAGATAAACAAATCAGATGCATACACCTAAGTAAATATAATATATTGTTACTACGTCTTATTTCACAATTTTTTTCCTCTAATTTCTATAGTACGTCATCAGAAAAGCTGGTCAATGTGGTATAAATATTTTTTCAAAGTTCTCCTAAAATTAGAAACTTAACTATACCAATTTACATATCACAGAAATAATATTAGATTGTAATATAATGCTGTAAAAAACAAGACAGTTTCTAAATTGAATATTATTTACCAATTTAGTTCTGTATTTTTATATAAAGTATTATAAAACAATGATTTTAATTACAAAAGATTCTAACTTTTCATTAAATAACAATAAACCTACACGATTATATTTAAGCCACTTAAACAGCAGCCTATACATTACGATACCATTTTGTTATTTCACCATAACTAAGAGTTATGATTCATATAACAGTAATTTAATATTGTGACTCGGACAACAAAGTTTTTATTTCTCGAATACCTAAAAACCATTTTGTACAGTATATAAACATATAACATGTTTGTTATATATATCAATATAATGTATAAACGTAATGTTTTAAATGTTGTCAAGCGTTATTGATAATTTTTTTTGTTTGTTAGATTAAATTAGAATAAAATATTCAAACACAGGGTTGTCACGCGAAGAGAATAAAAACGATTATTTAATTTATTTATAAACATAATATTTACCTATGTTCAATTGTTATAGTTATAATATTATATTTTACAAACTAAAGTTTTTTTTTTTTATTGATAGTAGATAATATTTACAATCTCTACACAATAAACTATAAAGTTATTAACATTACCTATCATAATTAATATTATACAATTTTTTTTTGATGCGCCTAAATCTATATTTAGATAACAATTATGTAGAATATTATAATATTATACACCTAGTTACCTGGTATTATACAACGGTATTTTTAAAAAAAAATCCAACTTTCGTTTCACATTAATCTATATTGTCAACTTTTCACGTCCAGTTTTATTATAATATATATCATCTTTGATAAGTCTGAATTTTATTTAAAAGAAACGTTTTAATTTTCAAGTGACAACCTATATAAATAAATCTTTAACACTGTGTTTTGTTATTTAAAAAAAAGTTATATGTTACCTATAAACTATTAAAATGTGTTTATATAAAAGATTTAAGATTTGTTTTTGTTGAAGAAAATCAACAAGTTCATGTTTAGTATTTATTTTGTAATTACTTGTTTATAATATTAGGTTTATATAATTACATGTATATATAATTTAATATAATTGTACAGTAAATCTTATCTTCGTTTTATTGAATCAATATTTGTTGTACCCAATTTAAAAATATTTATCAATAAACATATTTACTCAATAGTCATTGGTCTTATGTCATTTAATCATATATGCAAATACGTAAATAGTTATCCTTATAAAGTATGTAGTAGTAGTTAGTATAAAATAATATGAAAAAACTATATGAACATTCAACATGAATCCATCATAAATCATTGTAAACGTTAATCTTTTAGAATTTGTGACTAAAAACGTTACGAACCTTTGATTAGACAGACAACTTAATATACAAACAGTTTATATAGACAAATCGGTACCTACACTTATAAAACCTAGAACTTACCTAATGCCTACGCCTTTGGTTACTGTGGACAATTAAAGGCGTAGTTATATAGTGTGTAAAGGATAGTTTTTTATCACATTATTAACCCATTTTAGTCCTTAAACTTTAAATTTATTTAAATTAAAATTTTTGGGATAAGTTTTAATAACACTTAAAATCTTAAGACATTTAAAAATTTATTTTGTTATATCAATATCATGTATAAGAATTTAAAACAATCACGTGACTTCACCTTATTTTTCCACCCATCTATCACAAGTGTGATTTACAACTATATAAGCAGCCTCACTTGTCATTCATCTCCATAGAACTCTGTGAATCCTTCATCTTTTATTTGGTCTATCTCTCCCTCAATAGTAAATTCCTACTACATTAAATTCCATAGCAACTAGCATACGCCTCTGAGTCATCTCAACTCATAACATGACCTTCTCCACCATCTCATAACATAACAAACTATAACAAACCATCGAAATCTAGGATGCTTTATTTTTATAAATGAATTTATTATTCATTAATCTACTCTAATTTTTAAACCCAGACAATAACTACCTAACCATATTAAGTTCAATAATGAATGGTTATTGAAAGGTTACCCTGGAGGTATCAGGTAAGGGTTTTGCAAAAATTGCAAGATATTTTCTGTTAATTTATTTTTAGTTTGTTAATTTTGTTTTAAGTATCCTGGTGCTCCTCGATGAATTTTATTCCTTGAGTGGTAACTCTAATTTACTACATGTCAGCGTAGGAGTTTTATAACGATATTTTGATAAAATGGCTTTGCGATTATTTTATGATAAATATACCTACAAAAACATACTTCAATTATTAACCATTGATATTAAATTATAATTTTCAATAAAGTTGTTAACATATTCACCTAGTTCACCATTATACAATTTGGGTTTGAAGAAAATTGGTTTTGATAAATCGAACGTTCCTGTTTGTGTGTATAATATATTATTACCTTCTACTAAATCAGTATCCACATTTTTTGATTGCGTTACAACAAGTGATCTCTTTTAAAACTTAAAAAGTTTGTATAAACAATGTGGGTCACTATCGTTATTGTAATCGATTATTTGATCTTTGTTTAAAATGTATCTTAATATAAAAATCGTAATTCTAGGGTTTCGCTATTTGTTGAACATTTTGCATCGAATAATCCTGAATTAATGTGCATTAAAATCGACTTTAGATAAAATATTATGGTAAAGTTATAAGGATTAAGGTATACAGAAAGTTATTCAATATTTTCCTCTAAGGACTTCCGCATAAATCTCTCATTTGTAAGTTTATTTGGATGTTTTAATGAAAAAATAATCCCAAAGTTGAGTTTAGCAATTTTTTTTTAACACCACTTGGTAATATTTTTATAATCCTACAAGACGACATTGGTTTTTTATGCTGTGGACTGGTGCCAGCGCGATCTTCTGTCGACGGGTGGTGGCACCGGTCAGTGATCGCGACGTTTGCGTGCTAATCGACGAGCGTACGTTAATCACTATTTACAGACATTTCTGGTTATAATCTGACTTCACCAAAGACCAGAAACGGCAGAAGCTATAGAATTTCACAAGGTTTCAGATAAAATTATTGCGCGTCGAAAGATAATTAATAATAGTGGCCGGAGAGAGTCCTTAATATGTCAATTTACTAGCAGCTACTTAACGCGATTTAGTGTTCACGAATAATTGAGATACCTATCGCCTATGATATAGTAAATAAACATAATATTAAAACACATCGTAAAATACAATATTACTGTTTTTAGTACAGTTTAGTAAAATATATAGAAGTCGACAC